AGACAAGGTTCATGACAAGGTTCAAGACAAGGTTCATGACAAGGTTCAAGACAAGGTTCAAGACAAGGTTCAAGACAAGGTTCATGACAAGGTTCAAGACAAGGTTCAAGACAAGGTTCATGACAAGGTTCATGACAAGGTTCATGACAAGGTTCATGACAAGGTGTTCATGACAAGGTTCATGACAAGGTTCATGACAAGGTTCATGACAAGGTTCAAGACAAGGTTCATGACAAGGTTCATGACAAGGTTCAAGACAAGGTTCATGACAAGGTTCATGACAAGGTTCATGACAAGGTTCATGACAAGGTTCATGACAAGGTTCAAGACAAGGTTCATGACAAGGTTCATGACAAGGTTCATGACAAGGTTCATGACAAGGTTCATGACAAGGTTCATGACAAGGTTCATGACAAGGTTCATGACAAGGTTCAAGACAAGGTTCATGACAAGGTTCATGACAAGGTTCATGACAAGGTTCATGACAAGGTTCATGACAAGGTTCATGACAAGGTTCATGACAAGGTTCATGACAAGGTTCATGACAAGGTTCATGACAAGGTTCATGACAAGGTTCATGACAAGGTTCATGACAAGGTTCAATGACAAGGTTCATGACAAGGTTCATGACAAGGTTCAAGACAAGGTTCATGACAAGGTTCATGACAAGGTTCAAGACAAGGTTCATGACAAGGTTCATGACAAGGTTCATGACAAGGTTCATGACAAGGTTCATGACAAGGTTCATGACAAGGTTCATGACAAGGTTCATGACAAGGTTCATGACAAGGTTCATGACAAGGTTCATACAGGTCAACAAGGTTCATGACAAGGTTCAAGACAAGGTTCATGACAAGGTTCATGACAAGGTTCAAGACAAGGTTCATGACAAGGTTCATGACAAGGTTCAAGACAAGGTTCATGACAAGGTTCAAGACAAGGTTCAAGACAAGGTTCATGACAAGGTTCATGACAAGGTTCATGACAAGGTTCATGACAAGGTTCATGACAAGGTTCAAGACAAGGTTCAAGACAAGGTTCATGACAAGGTTCATGACAAGGTTCATGACAAGGTTCAAGACAAGGTTCAAGACAAGGTTCATGACAAGGTTCATGACAAGGTTCAAGACAAGGTTCATGACAAGGTTCATGACAAGGTTCAAGACAAGGTTCATGACAAGGTTCATGACAAGGTTCATGACAAGGTTCATGACAAGGTTCATGACAAGGTTCATGACAAGGTTCAAGACAAGGTTCATGACAAGGTTCATGACAAGGTTCATGACAAGGTTCATGACAAGGTTCATGACAAGGTTCATGACAAGGTTCATGACAAGGTTCATGACAAGGTTCATGACAAGGTTCATGACAAGGTTCATGACAAGGTTCATGACAAGGTTCATGACAAGGTTCATGACAAGGTTCATGACAAGGTTCATGACAAGGTTCAAGACAAGGTTCATGACAAGGTTCATGACAAGGTTCAAGACAAGGTTCATGACAAGGTTCAATGACAAGGTTCATGACAAGGTTCATGACAAGGTCATGACAAGGTTCAAGACAAGGTTCATGACAAGGTTCAAGACAAGGTTCATGACAAGGTTCATGACAAGGTTCATGACAAGGTTCATGACAAGGTTCATGACAAGGTTCATGACAAGGTTCATGACAAGGTTCATGACAAGGTTCAAGACAAGGTTCATGACAAGGTTCAAGACAAGGTTCATGACAAGGTTCATGACAAGGTTCAAGACAAGGTTCATGACAAGGTTCAAGACAAGGTTCATGACAAGGTTCAAGACAAGGTTCATGACAAGGTTCATGACAAGGTTCATGACAAGGTTCAAGACAAGGTTCATGACAAGGTTCATGACAAGGTTCAAGGTTCATGACAAGGTTCATGACAAGGTTCATGACAAGGTTCATGACAAGGTTCATGACAAGGTTCATGACAAGGTTCATGACAAGGTTCATGACAAGGTTCATGACAAGGTTCATGACAAGGTTCATGACAAGGTTCAAGACAAGGTTCATGACAAGGTTCATGACAAGGTTCATGACAAGGTTCATGACAAGGTTCAAGACAAGGTTCATGACAAGGTTCAAGACAAGGTTCATGACAAGGTTCAAGACAAGGTTCAAGACAAGGTTCATGACAAGGTTCAAGACAAGGTTCATGACAAGGTTCAAGACAAGGTTCATGACAAGGTTCAAGACAAGGTTCATGACAAGGTTCAAGACAAGGTTCATGACAAGGTTCATGACAAGGTTCATGACAAGGTTCATGACAAGGTTCATGACAAGGTTCATGACAAGGTTCAAGACAAGGTTCATGACAAGGTTCAAGACAAGGTTCAAGACAAGGTTCATGACAAGGTTCAAGACAAGGTTCATGACAAGGTTCATGACAAGGTTCAAGTACAAGGTTCATGAACAAGGTTCATGACAAGGTTCATGACAAGGTTCAAGACAAGGTTCATGACAAGGTTCATGACAAGGTTCATGACAAGGTTCATGACAAGGTTCATGACAAGGTTCAAGACAAGGTTCATGACAAGGTTCAAGACAAGGTTCATGACAAGGTTCATGACAAGGTTCATGACAAGGTTCAAGACAAGGTTCATGACAAGGTTCATGGCAAGGTTCATGACAAGGTTCATGACAAGGTTCATGACAAGGTTCAAGACAAGGTTCATGACAAGGTTCATGACAAGGTTCAAGACAAGGTTCATGACAAGGTTCATGACAAGGTTCAAGACAAGGTTCATGACAAGGTTCATGACAAGGTTCATGACAAGGTTCATGACAAGGTTCATGACAAGGTTCAAGACAAGGTTCAAGACAAGGTTCATGACAAGGTTCATGACAAGGTTCAAGACAAGGATCATGACAAGGTTCAAGACAAGGTTCATGACAAGGTTCATGACAAGGTTCATGACAAGGTTCAAGACAAGGTTCATGACAAGGTTCATGACAAGGTTCATGACAAGGTTCATGACAAGGTTCATGACAAGGTTCAAGACAAGGTTCATGACAAGGTTCATGACAAGGTTCAAGACAAGGTTCATGACAAGGTTCATGACAAGGTTCAAGACAAGGTTCATGACAAGGTTCATGACAAGGTTCATGACAAGGTTCATGACAAGGTTCATGACAAGGTTCAAGACAAGGTTCATGACAAGGTTCATGACAAGGTTCAAGACAAGGTTCATGACAAGGTTCAAGACAAGGTTCATGACAAGGTTCATGACAAGGTTCATGACAAGGTTCATGACAAGGTTCAAGACAAGGTTCATGACAAGGTTCAAGACAAGGTTCATGACAAGGTTCATGACAAGGTTCAAGACAAGGTTCATGACAAGGTTCATGACAAGGTTCATGACAAGGTTCATGACAAGGTTCATGACAAGGTTCATGACAAGGTTCATGACAAGGTTCAAGACAAGGTTCATGACAAGGTTCACAAGGTTCATGACAAGGTTCATGACAAGGTTCATGACAAGGTTCATGACAAGGTTCAAGACAAGGTTCATGACAAGGTTCATGACAAGGTTCAAGACAAGGTTCATGACAAGGTTCATGACAAGGTTCAAGACAAGGTTCATGACAAGGTTCATGACAAGGTTCATGACAAGGTTCATGACAAGGTTCATGACAAGGTTCAAGACAAGGTTCATGACAAGGTTCATGACAAGGTTCAAGACAAGGTTCATGACAAGGTTCAAGACAAGGTTCATGACAAGGTTCATGACAAGGTTCATGACAAGGTTCATGACAAGGTTCAAGACAAGGTTCATGACAAGGTTCATGACAAGGTTCATGACAAGGTTCAAGACAAGGTTCATGACAAGGTTCAAGACAAGGTTCATGACAAGGTTCATGACAAGGTTCATGACAAGGTTCATGACAAGGTTCATGACAAGGTTCAAGACAAGGTTCATGACAAGGTTCAAGACAAGGTTCATGACAAGGTTCATGACAAGGTTCAAGACAAGGTTCATGACAAGGTTCATGACAAGGTTCATGACAAGGTTCAAGACAAGGTTCATGACAAGGTTCAAGACAAGGTTCATGACAAGGTTCATGACAAGGTTCATGACAAGGTTCATGACAAGGTTCATGACAAGTTCTCAGTGCTCACAGCCTCGCAGCCCTTCGAAACATGAGCCAGGATGCGACACATCACAAAGGCCTCTTCACAAAGGCCACACCACACCACACCCACCACACCGCACCACACCACACCACACCACACCACTGCACAGGCTAGATTTCCCTCACAGCGCAGGCACAGACCTCTCCACCATAGCAGGCAGACCAAGCGTTGGTCTCCACACAGCACCCTAGAACAGCCCCACACACACAGCACCCTAGAACAGCCCCGGTTGCCAAACAACAGTCAAGCAAGCCCAGCGCTCCAACGCAACTCCCCTTCACCATTCACAACACGTGGCCCAAGGCACTGCCTCGGTCGCACACTACACTTGAGAGGTAGAGGCACAGTCCTGGTCGCCACACAGCACCCTATCACAGCCGCAGTTGCCAAACAAACAAACGGTCAAGCCCAGCCCTGGTCTTCTCATTCTTACACCCCAACGCGACGCCACTCCACCTCACATTCACAACACGTGGCTCTAGGCAGAGCCTCGGTCGGGCGCACACTAAACTCGTGCCCAACCCCAGTTCCTACGCAATGCAACACACTCGAGCACAGACCAACCCAACACGAAGCACTGCAGCCCAGCCCAGCATTGTCCACCTTGCAGCGAGTGTTTGTCCGGCAGCCCCGACCACGCCCACTGAGCCACTGCCGGCACAGCCCCGACCACGCCCACTGAGCCACTGCCAGCACAGCCCCGGTACACAGCACTGCAGCCCAACCCACCTTGCAGCGTATTTTTGAGTCGTCTCAATTTTGAGTCGATTTTTGAGGCGACAAATAAATCCACCGCCGACACAGCCCGGGTACGGTGGCCACACCACACTGCAGCCCAACCCACCTTGCAGCGAGTGTTTGTCCGGTAGGCCCGACCACACCCACTGCTCCACTGCCGGCACCGTCACGTTTGCCAGGCTGATGCGCCCCTTGCTCGCCTTGAACTGCCCGCCTGGTGCTGCAGGAGGAGCGGAGGGGGGCGGAGACGAGGGAGGGGAGGGGGAGGGGGAGGGGGAGGGGAAGGGGAGTGGGGAGGGGGAAGGGGAAGGGGGAGAGGGAGGGGGGAGGGTTTTGCCATCTCAAAACCGTCCTGGTCCACACGGGTCACTTTTTAAGGGGACTCAAAAACATTCGCCAGGCTGATGCGCCCCTTGCTCGCTGCAAAATGTCCCACTGGTGCTGCTGCCCGGGGGTGGTGCACGCGAGGGGGGATGAGGGAAGGGATAGGGGGGGTGGGGAAGAGGAGGAGGGCAAGGGGAAGGGGAGGGAAAGGAGAGTGTGGTAGAAGAGGGAGGAACGGGGGTGGGGAAGAGGGTGGGTGAGAGGGGTTTGTTGTCTCAAAACACTTCTAAAGTATGGCCCCCTGCATTCGCCAGGCTGAGGCGCCCCTTGCTCGCCACAAACTGCCGGCCTGGTGCTGCTGCTGCCCAAGGGTGGCGTGCAGAGATGGGCAGGGAAGAGGGTTCTGAGACGTCTCAGATCGCCAGCGATGCAAATGGGTGGCGGCGCAGGGGGGAGGGGGAGGGAAGGAGAGAAGGTGCTGATCACTCTACTGGTGCAGCCCTGCTCCCCCCGTGCAGCCCTGCTCTCCCCGTGCAGCCCTGCTCACCCCGTGCAGCCCTGCTCCCCACTGCAGCCCTGCTCCCCACTGCAGCCCTGCTCCCCACTGCAGCCCTGCTCCCCACTGCAGCCCTACTCCCCCCACCTGCTGCCATTCCCCCCTCTGTGCGCCCCACTCACCAGCGTCAGGCACGAGGTGGCAGCCCTTGACGAGGCACAGCACGTGGGTCACTTCCATGCTGCCCCTGCCCACCTACAGGAGGGGGCAAAACGCGGGTGGGGGATGGGGGCATGGGCAGATGCGTGGCAGGGACAGGGAGGAAGATGAGTGGTAGGGGCAAGGGGGCACATGGGCGGTAGGGGCAGGAAAGGTGGTAGGAGGAGGACACGGGGGCATGGTTTTGTCACGGCATGAGACGCCAAGATAATACATCAGATCACATCGCATCGTATCACAACACATCACATCACATGACATAATAATAACATCCCATGACATCGCATCTCATCCCGTGACATCGCATCTCATCCCATGACATCGCATCTCATCCCGTGACATCGCATCTCATCCCATGACATCGCATCTCATTCCGTGACATCGCATCTCATCCCATGAAATCGCAACGTGCTGACGAGGCAGGCAGCAGTGGAATAAGGTATGGCGTGCACGCACACGCACACACACACACGCGCGCGCGCGCGCACACACACGCACACGCACACACACACACGGGATACGGCACACACGAGGGCATGGGGCATGACAGCGGCACGGCAGCACGGATGACTCACGAACTGCTTGTACTCGTCGAGGGTGAGGGCAGTCTTGGGACCATAGCAGGCGCGCAGGAAGGGCACGTCAAACACGAGGGAGGGCGGTAGGGTAAGCTGGAGTGCGTCGGGGGCAAGAAGTGGGCGGCAGACATAAGGTGGAAGCGAGAAGGGGGAGGAGGCGGAGGTGCAGATAGGTGCAGATAGGTGCAGCACAAAGAAATATGGGAAGTGAAGGAAAGACCGAAGATGTAGGTTTGCACCTGCACCAGGTTGTATCCTAAGAAACAAGTTTACTTTGAAACCGTGTACACACGCAACCAAGCAAACATATGGCATAATGGCAGGGCAGGGCAGGGCAGGGCAGGGCAGGGCAGGGCAGGGCAGGGCAGGGCAGGGCAGGGTACCTCGTGTGGCCCCATGGGCACCACGAGCGTTCGGTTGAGAGCGCCTGCGAGCAGAGCGAACTCTCGCAGACAGAAGAGATGGTTGGACATCTGGGTGGGGTGGCAGGCACACAGGCAGGGGCGCATGGAGGGGCGCAGGGGTGCATGGGAGGGGCGCATGGGAGGGGCAGGGGAAGAGCACTTTTTAGGCACCTCAAAACAGAAGAGATGAAAAAGGAGAGGTGAAGAAAGAGACCACAGTGGAGCGGAAAAGACGTGATTAGACATGGTCGCGGTGGCACAGTGGCGCTTATATCTAATTGATGCTCGCAGGGGAAATACAAGCGGCGGGTGCGTGATGCGTCAAGTCAAGCCAAGCGCGCATGCCCTTCTTCCCTTCCCTTCCCTTCCCTTCCCTTCCCTTCCCTTCCCTTCCCTTCCCTTCCCTTCCCTTCCCTTCCCTTCCCTTCCCTTCCCTTCCCTTCCCTTCCCTTCCACAGCATGCATGCAGAGCAGAGCAGAGTAGAGCAGCGCAGAGCAGAGCAGAGCAGCACTAATTACCCCGCCACTGGAGCACAGCGACTCTTTGACCCTTGATCTCGACATCACGCATGCAGCGACTGCAAGCTCACCCCAAGCTTGCCCTTTCCTTCCCTTAAGACAACAACTTGCATGCAGCGAGTGTGACCGACTCACCCCGCCAGTGGAGCAGAGCGCCAGAAGATACTTTCTGCCGTCGGGGCTCCACGGAGCACCCAGCAAGGGCTCGCTGGGGATGCCCCCCCTCTTTGCCACGTCAGCTGCCATGTCGGCAATGACGTCAGCGGCCAAGCTGGCATTGACCAGGGGGGCCCCGGGGTGAGGGAGATGGTCCGCCCACCCACTTATGGCGGTCATGGGGATGTAAAGCGCCCCTCCGGGTGATAAGGGGGATGAGGGGGACGAGGGGGATGTGCTGCACTGTGCTTGTGATGCTGATGATTCTGCTGACACTGATGCTGACGCTGCTGCTGCAGCTGATGCTAATGGTAGTCCTCCTGACGACGTGGCAGCTGCTGCTTCTGCTGGCAATGCTGCTGCGGGGGCTGGTAGGGACGCTCGTGACAGGGAGAGTGGCGGCTCAGATGGTAAGGACTGAGAGGGCGGAGACTGAGAGGGAGGAGACTGGGAAGGTGGGGATTGTGAGGGCGGGGATTCTGATTCGGATGATGGCACTGATTCTGCCGGTACTGCTGTCAACGACACTAGCGCTGCTGTCGCCACTGACACCAGCGGTGCTGCGATAGACGGCACAACCGAGGGGGGGGGCAGCGACGCGAGGGCGAGTGCTTGCAGGGCAGCGGCAGCAGGGTGGACAGCGGCACCAGCGCCACCACCAACACCACCACCGTTGACAACTGCACCACCAGCACCTACAGTCTCACTGGAACCAGCACCCTCAGCAGCAGCAGCTTTGATTTCAACGTTATCACCAATGTCCATGCCAGGTGCAACCCCTGCGGTCTCCCACCCACTGCCGCTCATGCTGTCACTTGCGCTGTCGCTGCCACTGCCGCTACGACCAAAGCTGTAAGCCATGCCATCGCCATCACCATCCCCATCGCCGCCGCCGCCGCCGCCGCTGCCGCCGCCGCCGCCACCACTGACGTCCCGCGCTGGCCGCCAGCGGAGCGTGGCGGCGTGGTGCAGATGGGCGAGGAACGGTGACCTGCGGTTCCCATCACCACCACTGCCGCCGCCGCTGCTGCCACTGCTGCCGCCGCTGCTGTAAGCACTGCTGCTAGGGGTTAGGTCTCCGGTGTTGGTGTTGTCACCATTGCTGGTGGTGTAAACACTGTCTGCATTGGCGGTAACTCTGGAGTCAGTGCTTTGGCTGTTGGGGCCGGTGGGAGGAAGGCTGGTGGGATCTGTAAAGGTTTCCCAGCCGAAGGAGCCTGCTTGGTTGAGGGAGACGAGGAAGAGGGAGCAGAGGACGAGGAGGAGGAGGAGGAAGGGCAGGGCGAGGAGCGCGAGAGGCGACGCGGAGTGCTTCTCGGCCGCGTGCCACCGCCACGCGCCGCTGCCGGCGCCGGCGCCCCCGCTACCATGAGGCGAGCCAATCCATGATTTGATGATGTCGTGGCGCCGCGGAACCTCGAGATGCGCCGCTGGTGGTCTCGCCGCCGTCGCCAGCATGTGTCGCCACGCGCTGTGCGACGCGAGCATGGCGGCGGCGTCCCTGCGATCATGATCGTCGCCGTCGCCTGCGCTCATGATGGTTGAATGTTGCGATTTCGGCAGCGCGAATGGTGGCGTGCGACAAAGGTACTAGCGGCGAATCTCCATCATGGCCGCACGGCAAGGCTACGAGCGAAATCCGCCGAGTCGGCGAAACGAAGGACGAATTAAGCTTGGCTGGCGGATACGCAGCAGGCGGAGAGGCTGCGGAAGGCGGAGAGGCTGCGGAACTTCTGAAGAAAGCAGGCGCTACTACACATACTAGCGACGCCGCGCCACGAACGTGGCGAAGACTCCGAGTCGCGTTTATTACTTCTAGAGCGGCGAGGCGGATTGGAGACGCCGCGGCGGCTCGGGCACCAAGGAGTAGCCACGAGATTAAAGCGGAATTAGGAAGTTCTGGTGGCTGCGACACCGAGGTCGCGACACACCACTCATGGCATGCGACCTTGATGCAGGGACTGCCAGCCCACTCGATGGAACAGGGAAAATGCATGAACGTTCTTTCAGCGAAATCAGGCGTAACGGACAGATGGACCTGCTGTGCTGTTGCGCAACTAAACGGACGGACGGAACGGACGGACACTGTTCAGGAAGATGGGCGGAAGCTGGTGGGGGCAAAGATCATACTGGGGCCTAAGAACAGCAGAGACATGGCCAAAGTAGGGCCGGGTGTGTCGCACCCCTAGTACGCGGGTCCGAAGCTGCACAAGCCCCTAACCAGACAGCCCGAGCCAGGCCTACGTGTCACATCATCCCCCCCAAAAAAAATGTTGACGGATGTCGCTAGGGACGCGTGACGTCAGCACATGCCGCCCCACGCCCCCTCGCACATTGGGAAATTGGGGCAAACCGAAAAACCCTCCGAATCCCTCGGGTCACCCCGAAACTCCCGCCTGACCAGGCGAAAAATCCCTCCCAAAAACCCTCCGAATCCCTCTGTCTCAATGTCGTATTCTTATGCGCATATATATGTCAGCCGTACTGTTGCAATTTCGGGGACATTGATCGAGCACTGCTCGACGGGCATTGGTCAATCGCCGTCGAGCACCGTGCTGTCAGAGGTCCACTGGTGATCTCCGATTGATCCTAAGGAAGGGTTACAGGTTCGTTGTCCTGGGGGGTTATGGGCGCACTGACCCGCTACTTAACAAGCCCTTTTATCCCAATGGTCTAGTGGTTGGGATTCTGACATGGTATCAGAGCGAAAGTCTCGGGTTCGAATCCCAGTGTGTGCACTTCGAGCATCCCAGTGCGGGGGGGTGTCAGAGGTCCACTAGTGATCCCTGATTGATCCTAAGGAAGGGTTACAGGCTCGTTGTCCTGGGGGGTTATGGGCGCACTGATCCGCTACTTAACAAGCCCTTTTATCCCAATGGTCTAGTGGTTGGGATTCTGACACGTGCACCCCCGACAAGACGGGTGACAGCGCCCGACGTCGCCTGAGAGGCCGCGCTGTCGGTCGACGTGAGTGGTAACGGGTTTTGCAACTGGCCGGCGGTCATAATCGACGGCGCCTTCAATTGCGGTCGACCGATCGCTTCGACGGTCGAGCGAGACGTCGCTGTCGGACGGGCGACGGGTTACGTAAGTCGCCATCAAAGGGGTCACGTCAACAGATGACGGCCACGTCAAAGGCCAAGGCCTTGAGGACACCTGTAAGGGAAGGGTTATCAGCCCAACAACGGTTTCAATGAAATCCTGAACTGGGAGCAGCAGTAACATCGTTTTTCTGAGTTAGGCCAGCGCTACGGCAACGAGAGCTTTCGGGTAGGCACTGATGGAGAACGATCCGTCGAGGACAACGCCTTTCCGGCAGGCAGCGGTAGGACCGCTACCTGTCGACGTTGAAACCATCTCGATGCAATCCGCTAGGACGTCACAAGCCATACCGTGCTCGACACCACCACCCTCGACGTCACGAGCCATACCGGGCTCGACAGCTCCACAATCGACGTCACGAGCCATACCGGTATCAACAGCGCCACCCTCGACGTCACGAGCCATACCGGTAGTGGGTCAGCCGGTTACGACGTATCAACGCTCGACGGAACGTGCCGTCAATGTCGAAGTGGGGGGGGCACCGACAGAAGTCCCTTCGACGGCGCAATCCATACCTATAGTAATAGAACCGATTTCGACAACATCCCCTCCCTCGACACCGGAAGCGACTAACCAGCCGTCATCATCTTCAGCACCACAACGTTCGACAACACCAACGGAACCAGTAGCCGCTGTCCCGAGCTCGACTGGTGGGCGATGTAGGAGAAGGGGTACGGGTGTTCCGGCTGAGGTTAGGCCACCACCCCTAGCCGGTACATCCGCTTCGCGAGCCACTCCCGCCGCGCCAATGGGCTCATCGAAAAGACCCAGCAAAGCGGACTTAGCCAGCCACGTCCCTCCAGAGACGAATGACGACGACGATGAACAGGGAGAACAGTCCGAGGCGGACGATGTCGAAGAGATGGACCCTTTGCGCCCTGCCGCGGCAAATATATCAGAAGAGGAGGCAGCCCACATTCTCGGTGATGAACAGGGCGAAGAAAATCCGTACCTGGCGACGGGAACACTCAAAAGTGCGATTCACTGTTGTCAGCTTCCGCTGATGGCAATCGACCAGGATTCCACTCGGCCAAACTACGTCTCGGGTTTCATGCATTTCAAGGCTTGGGCCTGTGCAACCCTGGCACCCGGAAAAAACAACGGAGTGCCGGTCGAGGAGCAGGTGTTCAACGAGGACGAGGTCGGGAGAGAGATCGGCAAGGATTTAGGGAAGGGGTGGAGGGCGGCGCTCCTTAATGAGGAGCACCTGCATGGGCCTTGGACGTCGAAATGGCGGTTGCGGGCTTACGTCGAGTACATGTCGATGGAAACGGACAAACAGGCGGCTTCCTTGGATACCGAGCGGACCAGAGTAGCGGGACGGAAGCCGAAGAAATGCACCCCACCGATGATGCTGGCGCGCCTAACTGCGCTAGGGTGCTTGTGCAAAGTAGAGGCCATACTCTTCGACGAACCACTCACAAAACCGATGGACGACATCACCGAGGCTAGGCAGCTATTAGCGGTCAAGCTGCGACAGCTGCACGACTATCAGTTCGAGTAAGTTCGCTTCCCTACCCCGTCGGTCGAGAACTTCTCACTCACTTTCTAACTTATTAATTGCTGTATCTGCCCACTCTATGCAGGAGCTGCGTCGACCCACACCATGGCTCGCTCGACGATGTCTACATGGAGGAGCAGTTCCGCATTCTTGTTTCAGACATCCTGCTGCACTGGGCCAAGGTGTACTTCGGGTCGTTGATGGCATACCCCAGTCTGTCGCTGTGGAAGGCCTTGGCTGTGATGGTGATGATTCTGATGGCGCATCATGTCAGAATATTATGCTCTAGCCTGTAGTGGGGTGCTCTATAGCGAGTACAACCCTTCTAGGGTTTGCTATTTGTATCCTCATTCTTGCTAGTGCAACCTCTCCTTCTTTGCCTAAACTTTTCTTGCCTAGCTAGGACTTACCTAGCTATGGCTCCTAACTCTACCTACCATACCTACTATTTTCACATGGTATCAGAGCACAAGTACAAGAGGTAGCAGTTTTATAGTTAACAAATATAAGTAAAGCTAGAGGCTATCACAGAGGGCAAGTGAGGAGGAGGAGAGACTGTGGGGGAGAGAAGATGGGA